TTCTGGGACACACCTCATATATAAACCATAACAGTATTCATGCAAAAAAGTGAATATCTCAAAGAGACATCTGCACTTCTATATTTGCCACAGCATTCATTATTCAAAACAGCCAAGACATGGATTCTACCTAAGTACCCATCAACTGATGAATGGATAAAGAAAATACAGCACATATACACAATGGAACAGGATTCAGCCATAAAAATAGATGAAGTCCTGTCCTGTGCAACAAAATAGATGGGACTAGAGGTCATATGTTAAGAGAAATTAATTTCAATTTCATGGATCTAAAGATTCGAATGGTAGTGACCGGGGATGATGTGGTTTAGGGGAGGGAAATTTGAGAAAATGCTATCAAAGAATACATATTTCCATGAGATAAGAGGAATACATTCATGAGATCTACTGCACAACCTAGTGACTACAATTAATAACATTGAATTTTGAACACTCAGGCTGTATTTTTTGCTCCCTATCACTTTGGACAAAGTACAGTTCATCCAATTCCAGGTGCAGCACCAACTCCTCAGTTTACAGGCCCAAACTTTCTCTGGACATCACCAGTGTCTCCAGGAGACCTCACCCTGGTGGAGGACCACTGCCCTGGAGCAGAACAGGGACATTCTGAGTCAAGCTCATTCTTAACTCAAGTTGTAACTTTAGGCAGATCACTTAACTTCTCTGAGCTCATTTCTGCAAAAGTAAAGTGGGTCCCTAAAAGTACTGACTTCTTATAATGTACATGTAGAAATTAAATGAGATTACCCTTGTAATTTTCTAACATCAATCCAAGGTGCATAAAAATATAAAATATCTCTTATAATTACCAAAAGTTTCATAAATGAAGGAATCTATGAAAAAATTTTTGCTCCAAGAATGAAACTTCTACATGTTTTGTAAAAACTACCATGAATCCAGGAGTTGTAGCTACTTATCACAAATTTTATTTAAAAAGTGAACACAGTTCTCTCCTTCTATGAAGTGGGAATAGCAATTTTCAAAAGATGTCAGGATCGGTGTCCCCTTTACAAGGCAGTGATTAGGAGTTCTGAGGAATCTAGCAAATTCAGATAACTCAGACTTTAGAGAGAATTATAAGTAATGATTGGGCAAAAGTGTAAGGAAGTTAGACTTCTAGATTGAAGGGAAATTCATGGACAAAGAGTAATAAAGACCATATTCACCCGATTTCTATTCTCGTGTCTTAGTAACAGAGAACAATCGGGATTTTTTTTTTTTTCTGCTCAGACCAATATCCCACAGGGACATCAGGTACTACTCAGGGGTTGGAGTTATCAAGAGGAACTGTATGTACTTCATGAGAAGAGATAGGGAGCTATAAATAGAGCCTGGGTGCTGTCCCTTAGAGAGGCACTGGACAGATCCAGGTGGTTTCTTTTGGTGCGTGAGGTCTGTTTAGGGGACCAGGGCTTCACTCCTTCTACTGCTTGTCCATCTCCATCACCAACCAACCAGGGAGAAATCCAGACTTCCACCGAGTTCTTCTCTCTAGACAATCCATCCAGGTGAGCCTGAGACACTGACAGGTACTGTAGGAAAGGGTCAGCAAGGATGGAACCTGACAAAATGGACCAGAGGTCACTTGAAAACCAAGCCAGCTCAGCCCAGAGCTCAGAGACTCTGTTTCCTTACTGGACTAATTTCAATTCATTCACTGTGTTAACAAGATAAGTGTCTTTAAACTCTGCAGTGCATAGATCCTGTGGACAATTATATAGTGAGCATAGAAGTCCAGTGGGGTGAGACTAATGAATAAGTGGTAGGAAACATTCCCATAGAATTAGACCATAGCCAGGGAGATTGTCAATAAGGAAGTATAAGGGAGTATCAGGTTGGGGGAGAAGTGCAGTGAAGTGAGGGTATTATTTCTTTAATTTTTAACATGGAGTGTATTTGAGCCTGTTTTCCGTATTCGTTTCTAGTATCTGACTACTGCTTAGCTTACAAATACTATCTTACAACAACAGTTTTTGAGACATACATTGCACAATATTTCTCTCATACATAGCATTCACATGAAAAGAAGTTTTGATAGGTCAAAAGAACCAAAGGAACTTTACCTTGTATCTCCTTTTTCTTCTGCTGAAATTGAATATATTTTTGAGTGGGTTGTTCTTTCCTTCCTCTGCAATTCCAAATTGTTTATGCAAAATGTTTGCTTGTATGAAAGTTGTTGTCATTGCTTTCTGGCATTCTTTTGAAGGAAAAATTGGATATTTTTTCTAAGTTTGCTGTTTGCCATTTCTTTTACTTAGGTATACAAATATTTTGGGGAAATGATATATAAACTTTGGTGAAATCTATCAGTCAGGCATATTACAGACTCTTTTCCTCTATTGCTTTCTAAGTATGGAAAGTTCCCCTGCATGACTAGTAGTCATCAATTACCTCCTGTGCCTTTTTCCATCTTCTTGCCTATGTTTTTCCTGATCACTGCCTTTCTGCCTTGGGTGATTACTTCTATTTGGACGAGCAGCAATCATCTTCTGCAATCCTGTGGAATGTATGTTTTTCACTCAACTGAAGCTTGCCTGCTTCTTTCTTGGAGCTTACATTTTACACATAAAAGCACCATTATGTTTATGGAGTTTCCCTTTCTGTATGATAGGTATAAATATTCATTCTTTTAGTTGAGGAATAAGTGAGATAATACATGTAATGGATGCAGCTCAATGCATGGTGAGACTCCTAAAGGGAGCTCTGAGAATATTTCAATCACAGATGTGACTTAATTTCATTATTCTTGCTATTGTATCTGGGGTCATAAGCACATCTGGATGCATTTGTTGTTATATAGGATGAGATAGTAACGTTGGATATTATTTCTTCCAATGGTCCTAAAGAAGTACCTATTTTTATTATTTTATTTCCAAGGGTTTGCCAATGCAATGTTGACTCGTGTTGTTGGTATTACATTATTTATACTTCAGATATTTTTATTAAAATTTATTTTAAATTTTCATTTCATTTAATGCAGTTGTTGTGAATTCATTTATTCACCTGTCATTCTTTATTCTGCAGACCTTTAACTTCAAAATCTTTTCTATGTGTTCTAATTATTTTAACCCTTGTGAAAATAATGTAAGTGAACAAAGCAGGTAAGATTTTTTGCTCATTTTCACCTTATATTATAGTGACCAAAGGAAGAGTGCAGGGGAATAAGTGCATCTGTGGTAGAACGTCCACAAGAGTACATCACAGGAAGAGGAGGTCGGAGGGCCATGGCAGGTGTGGACTTTTATAGAGATTCATATACAGTGAGCAGACCTCAGAGCCAGGGCCCTTGAGCTCATGTATTCCAAACTGTTAATAATCTTCCTACATGATGTTGAGTTCATTTTGCTTGTATTTTGTTGGGAATTTTTACATCTATGTTTATTAAGGATGTAAGCTTTTAGTTTTTTTGTACAGTTGTTGTCTGGCCTACATGTGACTATTATAACACAGCCATCTGAATCCTAAATAACTGAGAGAAATTGGGAGGGATCCACAGGATTCCTTTAAAATCAAAATACTACATGATTCCATGTGCATGATCTTTAAAGCTGTCAATCTCATGAATGCATGGGACAGTGAGATGTCTGGGAGGGCAGGAAGGAATGTGTGGGCTGATTTAGTGGGAATATAGTCAGTGTTATATAAGATCATTCATTTCCAGACACCTGCTGTGCAACACAGGGCTAGGCAGTAACAAATGACTCTACACTTGAAGTCCTGCTATGAGGATAGATCTGGGGCTAATCGTTTTTACCACAGAAAACAACAAAACAAAATTAAAAAGCACACTCTGGGAGGTGATGTGTGTGTCTATAGCACTGACTGCATAAGAGGCACCAGGGCTCCGTGTGTCTGAACTCATCAGATTGTACATATTATACAAGCAGCTCTTCAGATATAACTACCCTTCAGTAAACGTTCTTAAAACAGAAGATAAGAACAACATGTGGATAAAGGACCCTCTGCATCATGAAATCACAAACTTTCAGCAGTGTCAAGGAGGCCACCTCCTTCCTCCCTGTTCTCATACTGGGTCCTTCCCCCATCTCCTCCTGTTTGTTCTGGTTGACAGCATGCCTTGGTTTTGAAAGAGCATCACCCACAGGACCTTTGCACTGCTCACTCCTCCAGACAGGCACACACCTCTGTATACAATCTCATCATTCCATCTTGGGATCTCTACTTAAATATCATCTTATTCACCTGTCTTGCCTGTGCCCCATAAATAATAGCACTTCCATCCACTCTTTTTACCTGTCAATGATTTCTTTATGACAATTATTACCATCTGACATGTTATAGGATCATTTCTTTCTTGAAATGTTTTTAATGTTTGTATTAGTTCCTTACAGCTGTACATAACAATGAGGTTTATTTTGACATAATCACACTTGCATGAAAAATAATTTGTTCCATTTCAGTTCCTAGTCCCTTCTCCTTCCCCTTTCACCTTGCTGGACAACGCCAGCCTTACCCCCATCTATTTATTGTTTTATAAATTGGTACATTATAGGTATATACAAATGTGGAATTCACCATATGTTTTTAATATTTTAACTGATAAAGTGAAACTCTATGTATTTAGGGGATGCCATGTGTTGTTTTAATACATGTAGACATAACATAAAGTTAAAATCTATCTGCTCAAATATGTATCATTTCTTTATGGTGAAAATTCTCAAAATCTTCCTTAAGCTCCTGATTTTTATTCATTTCCTTACATACTTGTATTTTTTCTGCAAGAATATTTTATTTTAAAATCTTACTGCCTAGAAAGTGCAATTATGGTTGGACCCAACTAATATCCCATACTTTCAAAAAAGTGTTGTTCATAAAACTGTATAGTATATGATCCATTGGTGAAAAGTGGACAGGTACTGGAATTCCTAATTAGAGATGGCATGGGGGATGCCTTAAAGGGAACCAGATAGAAAAATTAGTGATGTTAATTTTCTCTTTCCTGGTGTCAATCAAAGCACATGGAAGCACAAAATGACACAAAAATTTCAGAATTTCTTCTTCTGGGAATTTCAGAGGAACCAGAACTGCAGCCCCTCATCTTTGGGCTTTTCTTCTCCATGTACCTGGTCACGGTCACAGGAAATCTGCTCATCATCCTGGCCACCATCTCAGACCCCCACCTGCACACGCCCATGTACTTCTTCCTCTCCAACCTGTCCTTTGTAGACATCTGCTTCACCTCCACCACAGTCCCAAAGATGCTGGTGAACATCCAGATGCAAAGTAAAGTCATTACCTATGCAGGCTGCATTATACAGATTTACTTTTTTGCATTATTTGTAGGACTGGACAATTTCCTCCTGGCTGTGATGGCCTATGACCGGTTTGTGGCCATCTGCCACCCTCTGCACTACACGCTCATCATGAGCCCCAGGCTCTGTGGATTTCTGGTGCTGGCATCCTGGGTCACGAGTGCTCTCCATTCCTTATTGCACAGCTTAATGGTGTTGCGACTGTCCTTTGGCACAGGCTTGGAAATCCCCCACTTTTTCTGTGAACCTAATCAGGTAGTCCACCGAGCCTGTTCTGACACTTTCCTTAATGACCTGGTGATATATGTTGCAGCTGTGCTGCTGGCTGGTGGCCCCCTCAGTGGTATCCTTTACTCCTACTCCAAGATCCTATCCTCCATCCGTGCAATCTCATCAGCACAGGGCAGGTACAAAGCCTTCTCCACCTGTGCATCTCACCTCTCTGTGGTCTCCTTATTCTATTGCACACTCCTGGGAGTGTATCTTAGTTCTTCTATTACCCAAAATGCACACTCAAGTGCCACAGCCTCTGTGATGTACACTGTGGTCACCCCCATGCTGAACCCCTTCATCTACAGTCTGAGGAATAAGGACATCAAGAGCGCTCTGAAAATACTCTTTGAGAAACTATAAAAGCTCCCATTATCCTGGACCTTCAAAACTACTGCTGAATGCAAGGTTTGAAGCCTCAGAGCAAGAAATTACAATATTTTGACCAGATTGTGAAATGAGACCTGTCTCCTATTTACTTTCTGAAATCTCCATTTCTTTGATTTTAACTTCTCCAAAAAAAAATGTAAGGTATCTAGATCACCTTATGAGATTTCTGCTCTGACATCTATATAGCATTCACTGTTATTTGGTTGCACACTCCCTCAAATTTGTTTTCCATCATGGGTTGGAAAGATTGGAAAATCCCATTTATTTATGGGAAAACATGAATTTCTGAAGAATAATTTCTTTTAAGGACATAGATCATACCAAGTTAACTTTGGTTTTATTGTACAAAAATACTTTGCCATGTGCTGTGCTCCTCAGGTGGAAAAATCCCACACTTGACAATGAAGGTCATTTTCATAGTTTTATCCTGGAGGAGAGGCCAGGTTCAACAGTTTTATCTTGGAGTCATCATTAATTTGTATCTCACTGTCCTTGTCTGCTCTTCCTAAGAATGTGAATTTTTAACCAATATATTTATTTATTTATTTTTGTACCTAGCAGAAGCTTTTCTTCTCTTTATTGGGATTCTGTTTTCTTATGCAGCTTGGTGTCTGCTGTATCTACAATTACCACAGGAAAAAACAGTTATGTAATCTCCATCTCCAAGAGAAGGCTACAACAGAAAGTAAATGAGAAATAATAGGTTGATTTATCTCACTTCAGAATCAGAGAGGATCTTAAATGTGATGAGATAGACTTGTACATTGCATATTGTATTGCTATGTAAATATGAATTTCATACTGTAAGTAATCACTAAAGAGTGGAAGAGTACTCTCCAAGTGTAAGGGGTTTTGCTCACTGAATATCGGTGAGCAATTCTTATTTTCCATTTCTACTTGAAAATTTCTAGTGCTGTCTAGAAAAAAAACTGAATTCTTCTGTTGTTCTAAGTGAACTATCCACAATTTTCTGAATTTTTTCATAACAACTAAAAGGGTAGTGAATGAGCAATATCAATATCATCCATTATAAATGTCCTTCATACTCAAGAATCATGTCAATCATCCCAACCAGAGCATAACTTACAAACAATCCTGGATTCTTGCACAGTATTGTGATAGCAGGCCACAGATCTCCTGCACAAACATGCATATACTTTTACTGAATCAAGCTCAGAATAAGTCCTCCCACCAGGTCCCATTTGAATAAAGCCATTACATGAAACTCTCAGCATTTAGAAATGTTTGTTATGCAACAATATCTAACCATCACAATAAACAAAGGAACAGAACAGGGGGCATTTATAATAAACAGCTATTTTAATTTTTGGCATTCACTATAATCTTTAAAGACAACATTCACAGTTTTATGCTAAAGGTCAGGTAACACAGTTATAGGTTGCAAGGATGAGCACTTGGACACCTGTGCTGGACTCTCATCTATCATATCTAACATCCACCAAGGAGCTCTTACCTAGGAAAGCTCACACCCACAAACACACACACAGACAGAGAGAGAGAGAGAGAGAGAGAGAGAGAGAGAGAGAGAGAGAGATTGAGAGACATTCACTAACATGGTTCCCAACTTGCCTACTTGCTTGAATGGAGTGGCCAGCAAAATTCTGTGAAGGGGCAGATAATAAATGTCTTGAGCTTCACAGGCCAAATGGTCTCTCATACTGACTCAGCTCTGCCATGAGGGTGGCAGCCATCATAGACAACACACAGATGGGAAGGTGTGACTGACTCCAAATAAAACTTTACTTATGGAGACCAAAGGTTAGAATTGATGCAAATCAAAACCACAGTGAGATGCACTTCACACCTCTTCAAATGAACATAGTAAAACTAATCAATGTGATTTCACTGACAGGTGGAATCTGAAAAAGCAGATCTCATGGAAGCTAAAAGTGATTAGCAGGGTCTGGACAGGAGAGGCAAGAGGGATAAAGGGGAGAAGTTAGTCAATGGATATGTTAGATGGCAGGAAGAATTCTGGTGTTCTGCTGTATACTAGGATGACAAAAATTAATAGTATATCGTATGTATTTTTAAAAAGCTAGAAGAAAAGATTTTGATCTCATCACAAAGAAATGATAGATGTTGCAGGTGGAAATATGTAATTATCTTCATTAATCATTACGCAAAGTCCACATTTATCCAATATCATATTGTATATCCCCAAATATATACAATAATTTGTCAATAACAATAAAATTAAAAATTAAAAAGTAATAAAAATTTTAAAAGGAAAATAGCAATGTTGGTGAATTAATAATTTGGAATCCTCATCCATTGTTCCTGGGAATATAAATATTATAGCTACTGGAGGAAAGAGTTTGGCAACTTCTCAGGTTAAATATAGAAGTGTCATATCACCTAGCAATTCCACCTTGTGTGTATACACACAAAAGAAGGAAAAACAGGGTCTAAAAAGAGACTTGATCACCAAGATCCAAAGCAACACAGTAGAAAAAGGTGAGGAAAATGGTGTCCGTCAACAGACACCTGCATAAACAACGCTGTGTACTCAGGACAAAAGGTCAGTCAGCCAGGAGCAGAAAGGACCTTCTGACATATGCCACAGCCTGGGTGGATTTGGAGGCACCGAAGATCACCTGGGGAGTGTGTTGCTCTCATGTGCAGAAAATAAATCATACTCCAAGTCAGAGTGCTTTCCTCAAGTGCAGACCTCAAGGTGTGTGGCTCGGACCCAGCTGTGTTTGCCCCAGGTGTGTCATCATTATGGGAGGGTGGCTGAGGAAAAGGCCCCCACGTGAGAGGAGCCCACCCTTCCAACACAGAGGAAGAGGAGGCCGTGGCAGAATCTCCCAGGCTGCTTACAGCTTCTTCCCATGGAGCAGGTCATGTCTGCCCACATCCTATTACCTGATGCAGGTCACTTTTGCATTAGGCTTTTCCAGAGGAAGTGGAGAGTGACAGATGGAAACACAGGTTCAGATATGCCACGGACTCCCGTGATCACAGAGGCTGAGTGTTTCCACATTGGCTGTCTGCGGCTGGAAAGCCAGAGAAGCAAGTAACGTGACTCAGTCCAAGAATCCAGAGGCCTCAGAACCAGGGAGGACAATGGTGCAGCAGCCAGTCCAGGAGGAGAGAAGCTAGGACCCAGAGGGATGCTAGGGCCAGTGCTAGAGTCCAGAGGCTCCAGAAACTGGAGTCCGATGTCCAGCAGCAGCAGCAGGAGAGAACACGCCTGCTCCAGAGGGAATAACCAGCAGGGAGCTTCCCCTTGTTAGGTCTTCCTGTTCAGAGCAGGGCTAGATGTCTGGATGGAATTGCTCATGGGGAGGGAGACTCATCACTCTGTCCAGTGACTCAATGACAATCATCTTTGGAAACACTCTCCCAGAGGCACAGAGAGCTAAAGATTTACCAGTTCTCCTGGCATCCTTCAATCTACTCAAATAGGCCCCCCAAATTAACCACTCACTTGTCCATGTCCAAAGTCACACAGGAGGGACATGCATTCATATCAGGCAAGGCAAGGCCAAGAACAAAGTCCTGGGTAGTGTTGGTGAGTCATCCTGCAGAATATGTGGGAGTGATGACTAATTGTAAAATATAAAACAAGTTTTCTGAGGGGCAGAATCAGAGAGGAAAGCATTTCTACTTCTGGTGGCATCAAAAAAAAGTTTATGAATTATCTACTATCGATTTACCCCAGATGAGAAATAAGGGACAAATAATTTGATGCACCAAGAAATATCAGTTTTTTAGATCTTCCCAAGAGGAGAACATAGTAAAACAACTTCTGAAAACCTTCACTGTGGCTATTTGGACCATTCCTGAGTGGGCCAGAGATGCCGCCCATGAGTCCAACACAGCACGGGGGGTAGACCAAGGCTCTGAGCTGCCTGCCTGGGTCCTGGGAGGATGTCCCTGCACCACCTCTCCCCGTCTCCCAGGAGACACTCAATGCTGGACTCACTCCCTGTGCCAGGAAACGCTTGTGATGTCACAGTGACCTGAGCCAATGAGGAGCAAGGCAATGGTCACAATGACTGCTATCTGTGGGATATCTACTCACCACAGGTCATTTCATGTGATCTTTAACCTATGAGTTAGTTCACACAGACACTCCATGAAGAAGAGGAGTCTACCAAATTTGTATATAAGGAGCCAAGAACAACAAGTTTCATTTCCTATCACAAGGGAAGCCTTCAAGAGGCAAATGTCAACTTATTTAGGCAGAAGCCAAGCTACAGAGTCCAGCACCTGACAACCTAAATTAGAACTGAGGTGATGAAGGCCTTCATGGTGGAGAAGGCCTTGTAATGCCAGCACTTGACTCTGATGCTGGGCAACAGCCTCAGTGGTCAATAATGGGAAAACCAGATGGTACAGCAATTGCACCACTGGGAATGCTCATCCAAAGGAAATGAAGTTAGCCTCAGAGACTTCTGCACTTCCATATTCACTTAGCCTTATTCAGATAAGCAGATATGGAATCCACCTATGTCTGGATACATGGATGGATGAATTAAACACCTTATGTATACTCAGGAGAGTATGGTTCAACCATAAAAATGGATGAAATTTTGTCATCTGTGACAACACAGATGGAAATGGAAGTCCCCAGAGAAGTGAAAGTGAGACAGGAAGACAAATGTTGCATGATCTCACTCACCTGTGGAATCTAAAAATGTTAATTTTATGGATATAAAAAAAGTGAAATGTTGGTCACCAAGGACTGATGTGGTTTGTGGGATTGTGGGGAGAGATGTTGGTCAAAGGATTTGAGGTTCAGCTAGACAGGAGGAAGAGTTCAAAAGACCTACAACCTGGTGACCATAGTTAGCAACAGAATCTTTAACAGTGGTGAGTGGATATCGAGTGTCTCACCACAGAAATAATAACCACAGGAAGTGATGCACATGATGATTAGCTGGATGCAGTCACTCAACAGTGCATGTGTTCTTGAAAATGTTCTGTTATAGGCCATTATCACG